GTAATCCAAAACGGTTGCAAACCAAGGTACCACTGTACAAATGTACTTTTCTTCCTCCCAATCTCCACACTGAATATAAATGTACCCCCTCCCCCCAAAAAAATCTCAAAACAGGCTGTGGTCCTGCAAGTTTTCATAATGATCCAGAGATGATTTGGCCACCGAACTTGAATTTGCATTGGAAATATATATAGCAACAGTTTGGAAACGCCCTATGTTTTTATCAAGCTGTAATTTCTCATTTTTATCTGTGGAGCTGCCCAGGGAGCTTTTTGCTTCAGGGCGGCCTGTCAATGATGTAAATAATTTCTCTGATGTTAGTAATACGCAGAGTAGACCTGTTGAAATGAATGGGCAACTAGCTTAGGTCTATTCATTTCAGTTGGTCTACTCAGAGTCCAGTTTGGTTGGGTGCAGCCTGCTAAAATGTTTATTTGTTTAAGATGTTCATATAGCACTTAATTACCTGCATTTCTAAGTGGTGTACATGAAAACAAAATTTCACCCACGACGTGATACTTTTAGCTAGCATTGCCAGAGGCAGAACTTGAGGCCTTCTGCATTCACAGCAGATGATTTCCCCCTGAGCCATGAGTTTGATGGTTTTCTTGCTCTTTTACTATTCTTAGCTGTTTGGGGGTCAGTGTGGTGTAGTGGTTAGAGCGGTGGACTCGTAATCTGGTGAACCGGGTTCGATTCCCCGCTCCTCCACATGCAGCTGCTGGGTGACCTTGGGCCAGTCACACTTCTCTGAAGTCTCTCAGCCCCACTCACCTCACAGAGTGTTTGTTGTGGGGGAGGAAGGGAAAGGAGAATGTTAGCCGCTTTGAGACTCCTTAAAGGGAGTGAAAGGCGGGATATCAAATCCAAACTCTTCTTCTTCTAAAAAATAAATCACACATTTGAATAAAACCACAAAGCTCAGAATCCTAGCATATTTGAAGGCAAAACATATTCATCCCTAGGACAGCCATAAAGATAAGAAGAGCCTCCTGGATCAAGCCAATGGCCCATCTAGTCACAGAATCACAGAAGTGTAAAGTTGGAGGGAACCCCAAACGTCATCCAAACCCCCGCACTGGAGGAATCTCAGCTAAAGCTTCCCTGACAGATGGCCCCCCAACCTCTGCCTAAAAACCTCCATGAGAGTCCACAGCCTCCCAGAGGAGTCTTCTTGTTCCACTGTTGAACAGCTCTTACCATCAAAAAAGCTCCTCCTGACGTTCCATCAGAATCTCCTTTCTTGTAACTTGAAGCTATTGGCTTGGGTCCTAGCTTCCAGAAAAACAAAACTGCTCCATCTTTCATGTGACGGCCCTTCAGATATTTGAAGATGGCTCTCATATCTCCTCTTTTCCAGGCTAAACGTACACAACTCCTTCAACCGTTCTTCAAAAGGCTTGGTTTCCAGACCCTTGATCATCTTGGTTACTCTCTTCCACACACATTCCAGCTTGTCAACATCCTTCTTAAATTATGGGGCCCAGAATTGGACACTGTATTCCAGGTGGGGTCTGACCAAGGCAGAATAGAGTGGTACTACGACATCCCTTGATCTGGACACTATACCTCTGCTGATGCAGCCTCAAATAGCGTTGTTTGTGTTGTTGCTTTTTGTTGCTGCTGCATCACACTGTTGACTCATGGTCTACTAAGACCCCTAGATCTTTTTCACATGTCCGTCATCCTGTTCTCACAGTGTCCAGACAGATGCCTGTTGGAACTCGTGTGGCGTTTGCCCTCCTAGGTGGGTCATAAGGAAAGGGTTAAATGACTGTGGTGTGATTGGCCAGTGGGAACCCAAGGAGAGGAGTTAGAGTTGGAGATGTTGGAAAGTCAGTTGGGAGTTGGAGAGGGAAGAGGGAGGATAAGTCAGTGGGTTGGTCGAGTTATGTTGTGAGAAAGTGAAAGGAACTGTTAGGTGGAGTCAGATAGATAGCTGGGATAATCAGTCTGAAGTTGTTAGGAACGTATAGGTCAGTAAAGAAACTACGATTAAGAGACTGACAAGAAAAATTAGCTGAAACCTTAAACTTGTTCATGCTTATAAAAATAAGCTTGATTATTTGTTAATGTTAACAACTGTCTGCACTCCGTGTGTACCCAAGAGAAACGGGTTGGTGGCAGAGAGAAGGCAATCACAGTGGTAGCACAGGGATCAATAGACAGTCAAACGTCCAGGGACCCTGTGTGATCGCCACAACCCGCAACCAGGATTTGAACAGAACAGCCCTCTCTCCTCCTGTGGGTTCCAACAACCGTATTAAGAAGCATCGCCATCAATAGCCTTTTCTGTGAACTGGTCTAATCTTCTTTTAAAGTCGTCCAACTTGGCGGCCATCATAGTTTAGCTATGTGCTGTGCACTCTGAATCTTTCAACAGTCAGTTTCACTTAATGTCCACAAATTATGGTGTTAAGAGAGCAGGAGAGAAAAAAATAATTCTACCCACTTTCTCCCTGCTGCACGTAATTTTATAAACTTCTGTCAAACCCTTGCTCTCTTTTACTGTAAACTGCAAAGTGCCCAGAAGGAAGACGGAAATTTCAAGTTCCTCTTGTTGAATTTGCACCTTCTGTGTTTCCCTGCCCTCCTGATGGTCTTCAGTTCTGCAGAACAAACGTCTAACTGCGACGTCGTGGCTTTCAATCTCTCTCTGAAGGATGCCAAACATTTTCCAGGGAGATGTTAACACTCCTTAACTGCACCGGCTCCCATCGCTACAACCCTGCGCCCTGCAGGATTACCATTTATCCGATGCCCTGCTTGTTCTCCTTGCTTTACAGTTACTTATCTATAATAAGGGGAAAGGAAATCCAGTCACTTGGAGATAACTTGCCAGAGCCAAGTGGGTTGGCTGGAGATAACTGCTCATCCAGGTGACATACAAGAAATGCAGGTAAAGTCCAGATAACAGCCAATCTGGGCTGCAGACCTGATAAACTGCGGGAAAACACATCTCTTACTCCCTCTCTCCCTGCTGGATAATGTTTTCACAAGCTGAGCCTCGTAATTTGACTGGTAGAAGTTTTAGCACCTGAGCACAGACCCAACATGAACATTTACAGGGATGGTTAACAAGGCGTCATCAGTTCCAGCAAGGCAAAGAGGAAACAAAGGAAGACTCAGCCGGTAGGGAGCAAAAGTAGGTCTGATTGTTGCTTCGACCAGCAAGCAATCCTGATGCAGAAGTCTATGAACTGGGTCAGGAGGCATCAACTGACACTGTGGCCTGTTGCATCCTTGCAGAATGCCAGTCTAAGCTCTAAATTGACTTCTGGCGTTAATCGGCAACTCTCTGGTTAACTTCAATCATGGATAATACTCCTTGGGGTAAAGCAGAAGAGAGCAATTTGCTTCTTGGAGGGAACACTGATTCCTAATATTGGGACTCAGATGGTTAACAGTTATTAACGGAAAGCTAATGTTACATTTGCAATAGCCTGGGCTTTTGCAACCCATACTTTCAAAGCTCTTCCCACTTCCAGAAATACGCTACTTCTATTTTGTTGGTGGTTGCTGCCCACTTGGCCTTGACCTATGACAGGGCCTTCTAGGTGATGGTTCCTATTTGTGGAATGCCCTCCCTGGCGAGGTACATCTCCCTCCCTTGTTATTAACATTCTGGGGGAACTTAAAAACATTCCTGTTCACGCAGACATTTGACAGCTGAAACAGACTGCTTTCAAGCATCAGTGATATTACGAGCTGTGACCATATGTGACCACTGCAAATGTTTTCAAGTGTTCAGAATGTTTTGTTTTAGTGGGTTATTGATTGCCAATCCGGGTTCCTTTGAGAGGAAGGGTGAGATAGAAATTTAATTAATTAGGGCCATCCTATTACACAACAACAATTGTTGTTGTTGTTGTTTATTTGTACCCTGGCCATTTGACTGGGTTGCCCCAGCCACTCTTCCAACATATATAAAAACAGAATAAAACATTAAACATAAAAACTTCCCTATACAGGGCTGCCTTCAGATGTCTTCTAAAGGTTGTATAGTTATTTATCTCCTTGGCTTAGGGGGTCGAATAACTCCATACCCTCCAACATTTCTCAGATGAAAATTGTTGTTGTTGTTTAGTCGTTTAGTTGTGTCCGACTCTTCGTGACCCCCTGGACCAGAGCACGCCAGGCACTCCTGTCTTCCACTGCCTCCCGCAGTTGGGTCACACTCATGCTGGTAGCTTTGAGAACACTGTCCAACCATCTCGTCCTCTGTCCTCCCCTTCTCCTTGTGCCCTCCATCTTTCCCAACATCAGGGTCTTTTCCAGGGAGTCTTCTCTTCTCATGAGGTGGCCTAAGTATTCAGGATCTGTCTTTCCAGTGAGCACTCAGTGCTGATTTCCTTCAGAATGGATAGGTTTGATCGTCTTGCAGTCCATGGGACTCTCAAGAGTCTCCTCCAGCACCATAATTCAAAAGCATCCATTCTTCAGCGATCAGCCTTCTTTATGGTCCAGCTCTCACTTCCATACATCACTAAAATGAAAATAGGGACGTCCTAAGGAAAAACAGGACATTCCTGGATCAAATCAGAAACCGGGACGGCTTCTGTAAATCAGGAACTGTCCCTGGAAAATAGGGACACTTGGAGGGTCTGCTTCCCACTCTACAATTCTATGATTGATCCCTGTCCCCCAGACCACAATTTCAGACTTGTCTGAAGCATGCAATGTTGTGTACTGTGCAGAGCCAAACATACTTTTGGAGGGTGCTTTGCAAATGTAAGTTAGGGGCCATGACTCAGCTAATCTCTTCCAGTCCTCTGATGGCGGTAAACACTCCTCTTTCTCTTGGCTGCTTCCGCCGCCCCCCACTCCCCCCGCCCCCGACAGCAACGAAGCCTAATCTGCCACTGCCAAGACCCCCCTGACCTTGCCCACCCAGAGAAGCCAGCTCGCACTCAGCAGCCGTCCTGGATTAGCCCTCTGTCAATACAAGTGTTTTTGTGCTTGTGGTGACCTTTGGCTCAGCCCTGGCTCCCAACAGACATCCATTTGTTTGGTTGTTAGCCTTGATGTTTGCCCGCAGGACAGACTGATGGGGGGGGGGCTGGCAAGCGAGGCAGCGGACCATCACTGGAGCATCCGAGGTTTATTCCTGGCTCCCTTTCATGCTTCCTGGATGACCCAAGGCACATTGCTGAGCTCTCTCTGCGGGTCGGGCACAGCTGAGCTTGAACCGTGCCAGTATAATGGCAGTTCAGATGCCATTATATACCAGGCAGGAATTGCAGAACTGGAGGAGGCGGGAGAAATAAGAATGTCAGGGCTGGATCAGACACAGTCCAGTACGACATCTCCGAGAGCAGCCAAGGTGGAAGTGAGCAACCACTGAGACGGTCCTTGGAAATCAGAGACGTTCTTGCATGTGGAAAACAGAATCCTTCTGTCTCTGAACTGAGATGGCGTTGATAATTCTGCCAGGAGGCTCCGGGTTCAAGGGCATGGAGACATCTGAAACCCTGGGAAACCACGGCTAATCACTGCAGATGGTACTGGGCTGGATAAACCAATGGTCTGACTCAGTATAGGGCATCTGCCTACCTTCCTCTACTGCAAAGGGTGTGGCTCAGTCTGTTTTTGTATGGGACATTATTGCAGTCAAACCAACAATTCATCTTTTGCCAGCTAGACCCTGGAAGGGGCTGGGGCTCACAGAGCTTTCCTGTAAAAATTCCTAGAGAGAACTCTGTGAGATCACTTCCTTTGTCTACCTTGGCAGGAAGCTGCCTGCCTGAGCAGCCTCCTTTTTCTTCATCGTGCTTCCTGGCTCCTGCACATGAATGTCTGGGTTTTGCAGCTCAGACTTACATTTTCTGCTTTTGTAACTTAGTAGTTTTAAAACTATCTTCATTTTGCTACCGTAATTGCTGCTTCAAGACCTAGGTTATGTAAGTAAATCCTACTTTTATTTCTTCACAAAACAATGTACGTGTGATTGTTGTTTCTAAGTGGGCAGAGAGAGGGGTAATGCCAGGGAAATCCAGTCTGCCTTAAAGCATCCTGCATTACTGTTAAATCAAGCTTGTTTGATCTTCTCTCTGAAGCCCCAGAAAGCCACACCTGCTCATTGCTGACAGTACTGGGCTAGATGATGTTAGCATTCCGGCTCCATGATTGAAGTCACGGGATTGTTGTCTTTCACATGACGGTGTATGTTTTGACTCCACAGAGTGGGAAGTGATAGAAACAGGATGTTTGTGTTACTGTGTTCCGTGAAGTGGGACTATTGTCCTTTCTTCTTTTTCTCTTTGCTGTCTGATGCTAGAGAGAGAGGGAGCCATGTTGCAGTGCTCCATGTGTGTTTATATGTAAATAAAAGTAGATTAGCCAAAATGCTGAGTTTCTGAGGTCTATCACGCAAGGTGTGCAAACTCTGCGGATCCCTAAATGTGCCGGTGTCAGTTGGCATTGGTCACTGTGATGTTCGGGCTGAAGAAAGCTTATGAAGCTCCCGAATGATCGACCAGGAGGGAGAGAACATGCCAGTCGGGCATGTGTCTCTGCCAACATCCTACTCGAGTGTAGACTGAACTCCTGACAACAAAATTGTTTTGGTATGAGGTTTTAGTACTCTGTACATGCCTCATACCAAAGTGGTTTTGTTGTCAGGAGTTCAGCCTACACTCGAGTAGGACCCTGGCAGAGACACATGCCTGACTGGCATGTTCTCTCCCTCCTGGTCCTACTCTGCCGTCCCCCCAGGAGTGTTTTCCACAGATGAACCAGTGGTCTGACTCAGTACAGGGCACCTTCCTACGTTGCTCTACAGGAAAGGGTGTAGCTCAGTCTGCCTTAGGATGCAGCGGGTCCCAGCTTCAATCTCTGGATAGGACTGGGAAAGACTCCCTGTTGCATTCTGCCAGCCAGGGTTGACAGTACTGAGCTAGGTGGACCACTTGCATGACTCAGTTTAAAATCCCATGGTGGTGTAGCTCAGTGGCATTGCATGCATTGCATGCAGAAGGTTCCAGGTTCAGTTCCTGGCATCTCCAGGTGGGACTGGGAATATCCCGTCTGAAAACATGGGAGAGCCACTGCCAGTCCATGAAGATAAAACACTGACCTGGATGGACCAGTTGGTCAGACTCAGTATAAGGCAGCTTCCTGAGTCCATCCTGTCAATCACACAATGAGGACTGTGAGTGTATTTGTCTGTCCGTCTCTCCCCCTTTCAGGGCACCTGTTTTCATACATTCCCTTAAATTGTGCCACAATGCAATGATATACAGGCATTGTGTGTGAACGAGACCTTGTCCCCACTGGACTCAATTGCTTTAGAATAAGCATGCATCAAAGGGACGCGGGTGGCGCTGTGGGTAAAACCTCAGCGACTAGGACTTGCCGATCGCATGGTCGGTGGTTCGAATCCCCGCGGCGGGATGCGCTCCCGTTGCTTGGTCCCAGCGCCTGCCAACCTAGCAGTTTGAAAGCACCCCCGGGTGCAAGTAGGTAAATAGGGACCGCTTACTAGCGGGAAGGTAAACAGCGTTTCCGTGTGCTGCGCTGGCTCATCAGATGCAGCTTTGTCACGCTGGCCACGTGACCCGGAAGTGTCTGCGGACAGCGCTGGCTCCCGGCCTTAAGTGAGATGAGCGCACAACCCTAGAGTCTGTCAAGACTGGCCTGTACCGGCAGAGGTACCTTTACCTTAAGCATGCATCAAACCCAGCTTGTAGAAGCGTTGCTGTGTTTCCCTAGAGTAGGGAGGGCCGACATGCCGTTTTCCTGTATCTGAAAGCAATGCAGTTCACTGCTGCCATTAAGTTTTTATCTCTGCAGAAAGTAGCTGCTCCTGAGGAGCCATCATTGGGCATGGAATCTGCTTGCTGCAGCACCAAGATCTGAAAAGCAGTTTCGGTTTCAGGGGCAGTTTGGGCTTTTCTGCGCTCCTCTAGAAGCGTTTGGAAATGGCACAAGACTCTAGGCACTTCCAGATGACCTGTTTCATGAGCTTTCATTCTGTTTTGTTTGCGGGGAAGGGTTGCGGGTGGCACTGTGGTCTAAACCACTGAGCCTCTTGGGCTTGCCGATCAGAAGGTTGGTGGTTCGAATCCATGCAACAGGGTGAGCTCCCGTTGCTCTGTCCCAGCTCCTGCCAACCTAGCAGTTTGAAAGCATACCAGTGCAAGTAGATAAATAGGTACCACTGCGGCGGGAAGGTAAACTGCGTTTCCTTGCACCCTGCTTCCGTCACAGTGTCGGTTGTGCCAGAAGCGGTTTAGTCATGCTGACCCAGAAAGCTGTCTACGGACAAATGCTGGCTCCCTCGGCCTGAAGTAAGATAAGTGTTGCAACCCCATAGTTGCCTTTGACTGGACTTAACTGTCCAGGAATCCTTGCCTTTTCGATGGGGATGCATTGAAGGCAGTGCTGTCCCACTTTCCAGTCCATTTGCTGGTATGTGATTGAATCCCACCGCAAAATAGTGACAGTCTGAAAGTGCCTTTTGTGCAAGCTTAATTTACTCATTGATGAGCCCGTTGCAAGCTAAGAAACCTCTGAACATGGATTCGGGATGCAAAGCTGCTCCCGGTATACGGAAGTTTCTGGATTGGGAAAGAAAGACCTTTGCACATTATTATTATTATTATTATTATTATTATTATTATTATTATTTAAATTTCTACACCGTCCTTCATCCAATGTTCACAGGGTGGTTTATAATATGGGCACATCTTAAGAGATACTCTCCTTTAATGCTTAACACATTTCACAGGCAGCTTCTGTTCTAACCTTTAAGAACCTTTCGACAAACTTTTCTTTGCCGCCAACCTTACGCTGGCAATTAAGAAAACACCCTTCTGTTAATAGTTGGCAGATCTCTCATTTTTATATGGTTTTTATTGTGTTGTTTTATGTTTGACTGTTGTAAATGGTTCTGATGTTTTTTTATGAGCAGCAGTATATAAATATTTTTATTAAGTAAATAAATATACTGCTATGCCTTAGCTTTGGGAGTTGTTTCCAGAACTGAGCAATGGTGCATCATAGAATACAGAATTGCAGAGTTGCAAGGTATGCCAAAGGGTCATCTAGTCCAACCCCCTGAGCCCAACGTGGGGCTCAGACCCCATAGCCTGCTCTACCAACTGAGCTATCCCAATAGACCAGCAGTGGGTAGCATGTGATCCTATAGAGCAGCGGTTCTCAACCTGTGGGTCCCCAGATGTTGTCGGACTACAACTCCCATCACCCCTAGCTAGCAAGGCCAGAGCTCAGGGATGATGGGAGTTGTAGTCCAACAACATCTGGGGACCCACAGGCTGAGAACCGCTGCTCTAGATGTTGTTGGACTCCAACTCCCATCTGCCCTGATAGACTCATTCACGTGGTTGGGGTTGATGTGATTTGGAGTGCCACAACAACAGGTTGGCCAGCCTGGGGCAGATCAGAGCACTCAGGAGTCACACCCAGGAAATCATTTAAGACCAAAGGAGTCAAGGACAGTCTCAGCATCTCACTAAAGATGTGAGGGGTCCCCCAGATAAGACAGCAGTCCATCTGAAGTTCCCCTGCCTAGGATGCAAAGTTACAGATAGGTAGCCATGTTGGTCTGCCATAGTCAAAACAAAAAAAATTCCTTCCAGTAGCACCTTAAAGACCAACTAAGTTAGTTCTTGGTATGAGCTTTCGTGTGCATGCACACTTCTTCAGATACACTGTGTATCTGAAGAAGTGTGCATGCACACGAAAGCTCATACCAAGAACTAACTTAGTTGGTCTTTAAGGTGCTACTGGAAGGAATTTTTTTTGTTTAGGATGCAAAGGTCTTTCAACTTCCTAGAAAGATACATTCTACGGCCCTGATATTCCATTAGTTCAAAAGATAAAATCCCCCACATGCTGATGTTACATTTCACCCACATCTGAAAGGTAGAAAATTTTTAAAAATTGAATCCAGAATTTCTCTATTTCTAAAGCTGGATTTTAAAACCCAGTCTTAACATGTTATGGCATAGAAAGGTCAAAGCTGAGCTGAACTTGCACAGCTTAGGGAAGGCAGAAAGTAATGGCAACATTTTTTTATTTTTTTATTGCAAACGAATACTTTCCTTTTTATAATGACCCGTAAACAACAATATAATTTGGATGCAAGATGGATTGCGATGACTTTTCTTTAGCATACATACTCATTTATTTCCAACATAATAACATTCCCTATGTGTTCACTGACTGGAATACGTTTTCTGGGTGCAATGTGGTTTTCTTTATGACTTAAAAAGATTAATTAAAAAACCGGTAAGGCAATTTTGGTTGAAAAACAAACAAACAAAAAAAAGGGAGTAAGGCAATATGGTTAAGTATTAACTTGGCACATTCAATATTTTGCACTTTGCATTTCAAAAGTCCTTGAACCGAACAGCACCCTTAGCTGGGAACTGTTGGAGGCAAAAAACAAAAAACAAAAAACCCTTAGGAAAATATACACATTTGACCTTTTTAAGGAAGGAAGTTAAAGCTTAGTTAAAGCTTCCTTAGTTAAAGCTATGGTTTTCCCTGTAGTGATGTATGGAAGTGAGAGCTGGACCATAAAGAAGGCTGATCGCCGAAGAATGGATGCTTTTGAATTCTGGTGCTGGAGGAGACTCTTGAGAGTCCCGTGGACTGCAAGAAGACCAAACCTATCCATTCTGAAGGAAATCAGCCCTGAGAGCTCACTGGAAGGACAGATTGTGAAGCTGAGGCTTCAATACTTTGGCCACCTCATGAGAAGAGAAGACTCCCTGGAAAAGACCCTGATGTTGGGAAAGATGGAGGGCACAAGGAGAAGGGGACGACAGAGGACGAGATGGTTGGACAGTGTCCTCGAAGCTACCAGCATGAGTCTGACCAAACTGCGGGAGGCAGTGGAAGACAGGAGTGCCAGGCGTGCTCTGGTCCATGGGGTCACGAAGAGTCAGACACGACTAAATGACTAAACAACAACAACAACAAGGAAGGAAGTTAGAAGACACTTGATTGAGGTGTCCCTGCCCCACAAATATATATTTAAGCTCTAATACTGTACAGTCGTACCTTGGTTCTCGAATGGCTTGGTACTTGGACATTTTGGCTTCCAAATGCCACAAACCCAGGAGTGTTCCAGTTTGTGAATTTTTTTGGAAGCCAAACATCCAACGCGACTTCCGTTGGCTTCCAATTGAGTGTATGAAGTACCTGCAGCTAATCGGAAGCCACGCCTTGGTTTTTGAACCGTTTCGGGAGTCGGATGGACTCTCAGAACAGATTAAGTTTGACAAACAAGGTATGACTATTATACTATACTTAAGCCTACTGGGCTGACAACCCACTCCAAATGCACGATCATCATATAGCGGAGATGAAGGACCATTTACCCTCCATTGGACTCCCATCAACTTCAGCCAGCATGGCTAGCTGTCAGCAATTACAGAAATTGGAGTCTACCGTATTCATGCTTGAGGTTCCACAGCTGTTGTTGGACTTGCATGCAAAGACAGCCTCTGGGAGATTGAGCAGATGAGACCAATTGTGGCTCCAGCAGTCAAGAAGGCGGTTTCTTCAAGTGCTGTAGATGGAAGTGAGGGGCAGATGTGGCTTGTCAACCTTGGAAGGTAGTGCGGGAATGTTCAGGGATGCAGGAGAGGATATATTGTTTGATTATATCCTTTCCAACTTGTGTTAACAAGTTCTACAATTTAGCAGAGTAACATTCCCCTTTCTAAACTTGCACAGTGGATGCGTTTGCTCAGGCTCGCTAAAGCCTCGAAAATAAGTTTCCATGGTAATTTCCCCTTTAGTCCCTCATAAAAAGACAGACACGACACAGTCTTCTATAAAAGCACAAAAAGTTTACTCACTCACATTCTGTTCACAAATGGACCCCAGAAGGCAGACTTAAGTTAGAAAACTAATATACCTGGAATCTATCCCATAAAAAGAAAGTCCCTTTGTCCTCTCTTGGCTGAGAGCGTCTTAGGCTAAGCAGATGTTGCTTCTTCGACAAATGTAGTCAGATAGAGAGAGATGGCTGACCAGTCCTGCTCTTTTGTTACCTGGGAAGGTGAGGCCACGCCACCTCTAGTCACATGCAGAGGAAGTCTGTCCCAGCCTAGGAGAAACAGGAAGTTCTGACTGGCTGGTCCAGAGATCCCCTTTTATGTCCACTCTAGGGATGTTGTACTTGACTGCTCTTGTGTTTCACATCCCACAGGTAGCCCATCTGGAAGAAGGAAAGCTCTGGTCCTCAGCCTCTGCTGCCTTGCCGGATATCTTCAGGAGAAGTAAAGGCTAAGGAGTAAACCCTACACAAATCGGGAGTGGAGTCCCTAAGGGGGTTGGATGAGGCCCTGTACGCCTCCTTCCGGCAACTCCAAGCTGCTATCAAATGTATTGCTCTGCTTTCCTTTGGACCACACCAGCGGGCTTGAGAGGGGGGGTCTTGTTGTCTGGGCATCCCAAGACCTCCAGACACACTGCCCAGGCTTGCACTACAGTGCTGCTAATACAGCAGTTTGACTTCACCCCCAAAGGTGCACTCCCTCCTTGAAAGTTTCATCTGGCTGGAAGGCGCTTGAATGTTTTCAACTAGCTTGGATGCAGGGGTAGAGCGTGGGTGTTTGTGGAAAGTAGCCTACTGTACAACAGCGAAATATACATTTGCAGTTCTGCCACTTTTGCCGCTGGCCCCACCGACAGCTGGCATGCGGCCCCCGGGAAGGGAAGGTGGCCCTTGAACTGGAAAAGGTTCTCCATCCTTGCAGCATAACAAGTGCCAGATCTAACCATTCTGAGCTTATTCCACCTCCATCGTTCTGCCCGGACACTGAGGTCCAGCGCCGAGGGCCTTCTGGCAGTTCCCTTGCTGCGAGAAGCCAAGTTACAGGGAGCCAGGCAGAGGGCCTTCTCGGTAGTGGCACCCGTCCTGTGGAACGCCCTCCCACCAGATATCAAGGAGATAAACAACTATCTGACTTTTGGAAGACGTCTGAAGGCAGCCCTGCTTAGGGAAGCTTTTAATGTTTAATAGGTTATTGTATTTTAGTGTTTTGTTGGAAGCCGCCCAGAGTGGCTGGGGAAACCCAGTCGTATGGGTGGGGTATAAATAAATTATATTATTATTATTATTATTATTATTATTATTATTATTATTCAATACCCTCAGCCCTTACTTTCAGAACTGACACAGAGGGACTTGCTTGCATGAGTCTACTATTTCCTGGGGGAGCTGTTCAGTCTTCTGCGACATCTCTGAAGGAAAGAGGGAAGCGATAAGAGTAGAACCATTGCAGAAACAATGTCCCCCTAGCAACCACTTTCTATAGAACACTATGGGCTCTAGCAGCGAGTATCCATGGAACATTGTCCTCCTAGCAACCGTTTTTCACCAGGAGCGGGCAGACGACACAGCATGCCCGGCGACTGGTTAACACGAAGCTCTGCACCATCTAATAATGCCCTGTCGCAAGAAAGGCCTTGTCCTCCTATGGGAGCTCTGGTTTCAGCCAAAGTGCATCCTGAACATTGCACCAGTCCACAGGTATCCTAAATCAGAGAGCCAGTGAGGGGCAGTGGCTTGTGTGCGGGGCTAGGACCTAGGAGACCCGGGTTCAAATATCCACTTGGCATCAGAGAGTCAGTGAGGGGCAGTGGCTTGTGTGCCAGGCTAGGACCTAGGAGACCCGGGTTCAAATATCCACTTGGCATCAGAGAGTCAGTGAGGGGCAGTGGCTTGTGTGCGGGGCTAGGACCTAGGAGACCCGGGTTCAAATATCCACTTGGCATCAGAGAGTCAGTGAGGGGCAGTGGCTTGTGTGCCAGGCTAGGACCTAGGAGACCCGGGTTCAAATATCCACTTGGCATCAGAGAGTCAGTGAGGGGCAGTGGCTTGTGTGCGGGGCTAGGACCTAGGAGACCCGGGTTCAAATATCCACTTGGCCATGAAGCTCATTGGGTGACCTTGGACCCACTGCCTCTCAGCCCAAGCTACCTCACAGGGTGGTTGTTGAGATTAAATGAGGAGGGGCAGAACCACGTGTACAACATTTTGATTCTTGGGGAGAGGGGGGAAAGATGGAATATAAATAAACTGAAACAAATATGTGCAAAGATTCAACACCTGCCCAGTCCCGTCCCCCCTGGTTTCACCACTCAGGTTTTGAATGCTAGCTTCTGGGGCTTCAAAAGGAGAAATCACATCTCAGCAGTGAAATCTGAGTGCTTTGAACCTGCCAGTTTCTCCCGACTATTTCGGCAGCCAGTCGAACATGAATGGCTGTCGTCTGTCGCTGACAGCTGTCCAACGCTGTCAAGATGCTAAATACCATTGCATATTGTCAGGTACCAAATATTATGAAAGGTTGTCAGTAACTACGTGTCAACATTCAAGTGTGCCATCGAACACTGTCAGATATCAAATGGGATATCAATTACCTATGGGAAATAATATCAGGGAATATAGGGAGAATGGCCCACATCAGCACCTGAAGAGGAAAAATTTTGGGAGCAAGCTTTGTTTGCCTCTAGTTTAAATAAGGCTGTAAATCCGCCTCCCAGCCAGATTCCCATTAAATTAAAACGAGCCCCTTGCAAACCATAAACGACCTCTTCGTCATTCCTTAGTGCCCACAAGGGCTGCGGAGAGAGGGTAACAGGCATTTTAAGCATCCTTTGTTTGACTTGCTTACTATTGCGCTGCGAATCCCGCGTTAAGTGTAAAACAAAGCATTCTAGGCTTGACAAACGTTGGGTGGTGCGAGTCAAGTTTCATTACAGCGCCTGAGTCAAAGTTTCATTGCTGCAGCTTAAATCTGCTCTGCGCTGACCTGGTCTGGGTTTGCAATTTTATCTCGTTTTCCAACTCTCTTGGTGCTGCAGCACTGATATATCGTGGGGGTAGGGAATCTCTGCTTATCTGGCCCTTCGGTCTCTCTCGAACCTCCTCCTTGGCCCCGCTCCATGCTCTCATCAAATGCTTTTGCCTGTGGTGGCCAAGCATTCATAGTAACATCGTGTTACTGAGCGGTGATAATGCCACTTGCCTGGGCAGAGAAATGGTGGGTTTAAGCCCCCAACATCTGCATGGATGGGATGCCTCCTACTGCACAAAGGTCCAGAGTCACATCTTTCGCTCCAGCTGCTTGTGTCTCTGAACCTGCCCATCAATGCATGTGGGCCCCAGAAGGCTCTTTGGGAGAGAATGCTGGAAAAAGGGTTCTTATATACCTTCCAAACTGTCAGGCTTCAGAGAATCAGCTTCTTCCCCGCTTTGGCAGTAGATAAGCAGAACAAAGGGACGCGGGTGGAGCTGTGGTGTAAACCACTGAGACTTGGGCTTGCCGATCGGAAGGTCGGTGGTTTGAATCCCCACGACAGCGTGAGCTCCCGCTGCTTGGTCCCAGCTCCTGCCAACCTAGGAGTTTGAAACCATGTCAAAGTGCAAGTAGATAAATAGGTACCACTCCAGCGGGAAGGTAAATGGTGTCTCCCTGTGCTGCTCTGGTTTTACCAGAAGTGGCTTAGTCATGCTGGCCACATGACCCGGAAGCTGTACGCTGGCTCCCTCGGCCAATAAAGCGAGATGAGCGCCTCAACCCCAAAGTCGTTCACGACTGGACTTAACTGTCACGGGTCCTTTACCTTTAAGCAGAACAAAGGGAAAGGAGTCTTCTTACTAGTCAGAACTTTAACGATCACAGCAAGAGAACAAAGAATCCATTCCTAGGAATGAAGATGCTCCCAATTAAGGGTTTCACCCACTTCCTCCCTAGTCACCCACGTCACTACCGCATCCTGTAACCTGATCTCGCAACCACTGTGATTTTTGTTCTGCCACCTTGTCTGCTCTTCTTGACCTTGGGCTGAGCGGATGGATGCTTTTCAGAGACAGTGAGTCTGTTAACCCTCTCTCTTCTGGTGATTCTTCTCCTAGCTGTTCCCCATCCAGTATTTCCCAGCATCTGCCTTCTGAACTATGTCCCTCTGCAAACCACCATTCCAAATCTATACTGTCCTCCTGCTCCTGGGAAGATTCAGGATCCTGATCAGTAGCGGGGGGAGGGAGGATCCCACTATTCCTCCTCAGTGCTGCCCTCCTCAGCACGGTCCCTGACACAAACCCAATATAAATGCAAAGTCCGGATCCTTTAGGAACCACAGAGTATCAGAGCTGGCATCACTTTCTGCCTTTTGAACAGGTTGCAATGTGTGAAAAAGAGGTTCTGAGAATAGAAAGAGAGATGTGCTGGCTGGGCTACCTCACATTGCGGAGAAACCTGCTGCGTACCTGCTGCCACAACCTGCTTCAGAGCACGGTTCATCAGTTCACTTGCTCAAACTGCTGCAAAGCATCGTAGAACCGTAGAGTGGGACGGGACCTCAATATCATCTAGTCCAACCCCCACTGCAATGCAGGAATCACAAATAAAGAATCCCTCACCCCAACTGTCAAAGCATCAGCTGGGAGGGCTTGTGGCTGTCATTGAGAGCAGATCAACAGCTGCAGCAACAGGGTCCGTGGGCCAGACCTCCCTGCCCATTTGTCAAACGCATCTCCCCTTATGGTGGAAAGAGAAATCCTGGCGTGTTTGAAGAAAGTCGCCTCTGAATCAACTCTGGGACTGCGACCCTTCTTCTGCCTCCAGAAGATTCCAGTTGGCCTGAGTCTGCAGCTCTATGTAAGGATAAAGGGGGGAAAGGGACCCCTGACCATTAGGTCCAGTCGCAGACGACTCTGGGGTTGCAGCGCTCATCTTGCTTTATTGGCCAAGGAAGCCGGCGTACAGCTTCCGGGTCATGTGGCCAGCATGACGAAGCCGCTTCTGGCGAACCAGAGCAGCGCACGGAAACACTGTTTACCGTCCCGCCGGAGTGGTACCTATTTATCTACTTGCACTTTGACATGCTTTCGAACTGCTAGGTTGGCAGGAGCAGCTCTATGTAGGGTGCCCAAAAGGCGACACCAGAAAGATGGAAGGAGGGAGACACGTAGTTGCATAAAATTTGCATGTGCTAATTTATGTGGGCAGGTGCAACTGCAGAAAATATGTATAGCATTTCAAAAGAAATACAAGGCGCCTCATAAGAACGTAAGAGAAGGCTGTTGCATCAGGCCAACAGAGCAATGGCGCCCAGCTGTATCCAAGCAGGGACCGTGATGCAAAATCAGTGCGGTTTTAAAAGCTGGAGTCCACCATCTTGCTTCAAAATGGCACCCAAATGCACAGAGGACAGACAAGCATCTTTCCAAAACATACGGTAAGTGGGGCAGATTCGTGGAAAATGACTACTGCTGCCA